CCAGTCTGGGCGACAGAGTGAGACTCCAACTCAAAATAAATAAATAAATAAATAAATATTTAAAAATTAAATTAAATTAAAATAAAAATAAATATAACAATTTTTTGATAAATAAATAAATATACGAGTAAATATACATACAAATATTTATTCTCCAGCTCTCTCCACTATAGAAGCCTAGAAGCAATGACACCCACAGCATAAAAACAAACACCTCACTGGGTGTGGTGGCTCATGCCTGCAATCCCAGCACTTTGGGAGGCTGAGGCAGGAGGACTGCATTAGCCCAAGAGTTTGACACCAGCCTAGGCAACATAGTTAGACCTTGCCTCCACAAAAAATGTTTTTTTTTTTTAATTAGGCAGGTGTGGTGACATGCATCTATAGTCCCAGCTACTCTGAAGGCTAAGGCAGAAGAATCACCTAAGCCCAAAAGGTCGAGACTGCCACAAGCTGTGATCATACCACTGGACTCCAGCCTAGGAAACAGAGTGAGAACCTGACTCAAAACAATAACACCCAGGTGAGCACAGTGGTCCATGCCTGTAATCTCAGCAGTTTAGGAGGCAGAGACAAAAGGATTGCCTGAGCCCTGCAGTTCAAGACCAGCCTGGGCAACATTTTAATTTACAACAAATCAAAAAAATCACTCAGGTGTGGTAGCACACATCTATAGTTCCAGCTACTTGGAAAACTGAGTTGGAAACATAATCTGAGTCCAGCAGGTCAAGACTGCAATGGCTGTGATTGTGCCACTGCACTCTAGCCTAGGTGACAGACAGTGAGAGAGTTTGACTTAAAAAAAAAGAATAGTAAGGTCAGGCTCACACCTATAACCCCAGCACTTTGCTTGAGCCCAGGAGTTTGAGACCAGCCTGGGCAACCTAGTGAGACTCCATCTCTACAAAAAAAAAAAATTAGTGGTGACACACAGCTATAGTCCCAGTTACTCAGGAGGCTGAAGTAGAAAAACTGCCTTAGCCAAGGAGGTTGAGGCTGCGATGAGCCATGATCATGCCACTGCACTCTAGCCTAGGCAACAGAGTAAGATCCCAACTCAAAAAAGAAAAAAATGAATAATGACACCAACAAATTAAAACACACTGGATAAAAACAAAAAGTATCCTTAAATCCACGGTAATACTCAAAAATAAAATAGGGGACTGGAGTATATTTTAATAGAAGAATGTTAATATATGTGGAAAAAATAATAATTTAAAATTTTTTAATTGCCAGTACAATAACTTATTCAAACAAAATTCATCAACAAATGCTAAAAATAGTACATGAAAATGTGTTGGGGAAGAGGATATTCACACATCACAAACTATCATCTCACTGATCATTTGTTAATTACAAAAGGAAAAAGGTACCTTTATGATGAAAAAGACTGACAGTACTTTAATCAATTAATTAAACTGGATACCACCAAAAAATGGAGCAAACAGACATTATATGCCTTCTGGTGTGAAATCACACAATCCTCTCTATGGTATGCTTCACAAAAATGGGTAACCTGAACCTAAAAGTGAGGAACCAACCAGCAAATCCAGACTGAGGGATAACCATAAAATAACTGACCTAGATATCAATGCCAAAAAGCCCTCTCCCCTCTCAAAGAAAGAAAGAAAGAAAGAAAGAAGAAAGGCCAGAAGAGGGCGCTGTGCCAGATTAAAGGAGAGTAGAAAGGAAACAAATACTCAGCCAGTCTCTAAACCTGGTTTGAGGAGCTTGAGGCTTATGAACCCCATTATTGAAATAATGAAGGAAATTTGAGTATGGGCTACATATCATATATTATTATCAAGTCAACATTAAAATGTATTATATGTTAGATGTTTTAATATAAAAGCCCTAGAACTTTAGGAAAGACACTTGGCTCAAGACAGAAGCACCTACTGCAATTCTCCGCACCTCATACCAAGTGAATGAACTACCGGTATGACTAATTGGTTAAAACAAACAAACATAAAGCCGGGCACGGTGGCACACAACTGTAATCCCAGTACTTTGGGAGGCCAAGGCAAGGCTCAAGATCAGCCTGGGCAACTTGGCAACCTCGTCCCCACAATAAATTTTTAAAAATTAGCTGGGCATGGTGGTGCATGCCTATGGTTCCAGCTATTTGGAAGGCTGAGGCGGGAGGATCATCTGAGCCCAGCAGATCAAGGCTGCAATGGTCGTGAGCATGCCACTGCACTCCAGCCAAGGCAACAGAGTGAGATTCTGACTCAAAACCAAACAGACAAACATAGAAATAATGAAATAAGGAAAATACTGAAAGCATTTTAAAAAATCGTATATGTAATAATCATATTGTGATTGGATAGGAGAATTCCTTGTTCATAAGAGACACGAACTGAAGTATTTAGAGGTAAAAATAAATGTCATCATATCTGCAACTTATTTTCAAAATGTAGGAAAAAAAGAGAGAAAAGTACACCCAAACACACACTTAAGAGAAATAATAGGGCAACCTCCTTGGGTCCACTCCCACTGTGGGAGCTTTTCTGTCCTCTCAATAAATCTTGCTTTGTAAAAGAATAAAAAGAAAGAGAGAAAGAGTAAATATGGCTAAATGTTAACAGATGAAGGGAATATGGACATTTGCTGTATTCACATTTCAACATAAGTCTGAAATTTCTCAAACTAAGTTGGGCTAAGCATGGGAGCTCATGTCTATAATCCCAGCACTTTGGGAGGTCAATGCAAGAGGATTGCTTGAGCCCAGGAGTTCGAGACCAGTCCGGGCAATATGGTGAGACCTTGTCTCTACAATAAATCACAAATTTGCTGGGCGTGGTAGCACATTGGGAGGCCGAGGTGAGAAGACTGCCTGAGCCCACAGGTTGGAGACTAACCTAGGCAACTTGGTGAGATCTCATCTCTACAATAAATCAAAAAATAGCTGGGCATGGTGGTACATGCCTGTAGTTCCAGCTACTTGGAACAATGAAGCGGAAGGATCACCTGAGCCCAACAGGTCAAGGTTGCAATGGCCATGTGCGTGCCACTGCACTCCAGCCTGAGCGACAGAGACTCAGAGTCAAAAAACAAAAGAGAGAGAGTCTGGCTCTGTTACCCAGGTTAGAGTGCAGTGGCATGATCATGGCTCACTGTAGCCTCAAACTCCTGAGCTCAAGTGATTCTCCCACCTCAGCCTTCTGAGTAGCTGGGACTACAGGTGCATGCCACCACACCCTGCTATAGTTAACTATTTAAATGTAATACTAGATCCTTTTGTAGTTCATACGCATGAGGATTGGGTTTTCATACTCATGTGTGAGATGTATCTCTCAAATCTTATGAAGTCAGCACACTACCATTCTGGCATGAGGAAAAAATAAAAAGTAATTTTAAATAATATAAAAGCAAGTTTATAAAGTAAGTTGATTTAGCTCTGTTTAGTTCTGAGGAGAATAAGTATATAAGAGAAAGTCAATTTCTAGAAAAATTCTCCCATACCTGCTCAATGAGACATGTAATAGGATGCCTACTATGCTGTTCATACAAATTTAGAACAAAAACAACCCAGTGTCCATTACTAGGACACTGAATAAACTGATATGTTCACACCATTTGATTATTACGCAGCCATTAAAATTAACAATTAGGCCGGGTTTGGGGGCTCAGACTGTAATCCCAGCACTTTGGGAGGCCAAGGTGAGTGGATTGTCTGAGCCTGCGGGTTCAAGACCAGCCCAGGCAACTTGACAAGACCAGAACTCTACAATAAATAAAAAAATTTAGCCGGGCATGGTTGTGTGCGCCTGTAGTTCCGGCTACTTGGAAGGTTGAGGCGGAAGGATTGCCGGAGCCCAGCAGGTCGACGCTGGGGTGGCCATGAGCATGCTACTGCACTCCAGCCTGGGTGATGGAAAGAGACTCCAATTCAAAAAAAAAAATTAATAATTAGATCTACATGTACCAACATAGAACTCAAAAAAATTTGTTAAAGAAATTTTCAAAATGAAACATAAAATTCATATAAAATCCATTTATATGAATTTGAAAAACACGCAAACCCACTTGATATTGTTCATACACGGTACAAATGCAGTGCAAGTATAAAAACATGTTCAGGAAGAATATATGCCAACCTCTTGACAGTGGTTTCCTCTGGGGAAGGAGGGAGGGGAATGGGACCCGGCAGGGGAACAAAGGGGACCACAACTTCCTTAGCCATGCTGTATTTTTTGACAAAGGAAAGTGATCTGAAGAAACCTTTAAATGGTATTTTTCCCATTAAGAAGTCAACAGAAAGGAAAAATGCAGGAACCAGGTTCAAGATGCTCAACCTTGCAGGCTTCAGAACTCACCCTACTCCAACTCACCTTCAGCAAGCTCTCTCAGGGAGAGAAGAAATGCCCCCAGCATGTCCCTTGTACTGAATGCCCAAGCCTCCGACTCCCAGGAGGCCACACCTGAACCCTACTACAAGTAGGCCAGTGCTCCAGCAAGGTCAGGCAGGCCTTCAAATTCTGCCAGGGCAGTCAGGCAGGCCTTCAAATTCTAAGGGAAGCAAGTTGTCCAAGGGTGGTATTACCATTTTCTACTTGGAAAACATTCTCAGGCTTCTCTCTTTTAATTCCAACTTACCTAACGGAAAGCGTGAAGTCTCCAGGGTTACTTTTACTAGGCCTTGCCAGAAAACTGCCATCAACTCCTCTTGTCAACAGTAGGTTTTCTGCCTCCACACCAGTGATATTTGGGTGAAACCATCTTTAAAAGGAGAGAGAATAATTAAAAAAAACAAAGCATTCTGTCAGCACAACTTTCTATAACAATTCAACTAAAATGCCTTATGAGTAGAGTAGCTAATAAAAATACAAATTGTGACCTTCCCTGTCCCTTTCTCCTCTTCTCCTTGGCCAATGCCTCCTCCCTGCCTTTTAGTAGGGGCCTGGGATCCTGCTAGCATAGTAGATGGGGCTGGGGTCATGGTATAAAGGACTGGCGCTGGGGGTATCAAGACAATGAATTGATGAGTTGATGGCAGTTTTTGGGTCAGGCCCAAAAAGACCACATGGTCAGAAAACTGAGCACATGGAAAGAGATTGAGCAAATAAGTAAATAAATCAATAAACTACTTACTGAATGAGTAAAAACACTGAGGATAATAAGCCAAGTTTCTCATTGTTAGAGAGGGAGACAAAAATATGGGACCAGAGAAAGTCAGAATAAATCCTGTGGTGTTAGAGTGGGAATGGAGATATCAGTGCAAAGACACATAAAGACAGATATATAGATAGAGAAATCAAAATGTATGCTCCTGGGTATGGGTGCACGTTTATAAATACACACACACATACACACACACACACACACACACACACACACACACACACACACACACACAGTCACATGCATTTCCTAGCTGTCTCTTCTGAAAGGTCTTGGAAGCAAGGACACCCTGAGTGGGTTTCCAAATACCATTCACCAATAAAAGAAACTGGGCTCCTTGGAGAAAGGACTGATTCCAGGGATAGGAATAAAAGTTAAGAAGATGAGCTCAGGACATTCTATCGTGCACCAGTAAGAAAGAGTTCCAATGAGGACATGTCAGAGGAATACAGAAGCTAACTTGAAGGACCCTCCATGGCTCAAGTAGGGACAATTTGTACCTGAAAATACAATCATATGAACAGATTACAACCCATCGAATAAAATAGGAAACCACAAGTCCATACAGATATTGACTTTTTAAATTAATTAAGGTCTCTCAAAAAATTAAGCATGGAATCACCACATGATTCAGAAATTTCACTTCCAGGCATATGCCCAAAATAACTGAAAATAGGGATGCAAATAGATATTTTTCTACTGCCCATGTTCATGGCAGCATTATTCACAAAAGCCAAAAGGTGGAAGGAAATCAAGTATCCATCAGAGGATGAACCTTGAAAGCATGCTAACTGAAATAAGTCAGTCACAAATGTCTGTCCCCTCTATAACTCGTGTTGAAATTCAATTCCCAATCTAACAGTATTAAGAGGTAGGGCCTTTAAGTGGTTATTGGGGAATAGGGGCTCTGCCCTCATGAAAAGAGTAATCCATTCAGAGAGAAATGGATTAATAGGTGACAGAAGGAGTGAACTAGCTATCATGACAGTGAGTTTATTGTAAAAGTCAGTTTGGTCATCTCGCAAGATCTTCCTCATCATATGAAGTGCTCTATCACCTTAGGACTCTGCAGCAAGTCCCCACCAGCACAAAGGCCCTCACCAGATACAGCATCTTGGATTGCCCAGACTCGAAAACCGTGAGCCAAATAAACCTCTTTCCTTAATGAATTATTCAGTCTCAGGTATAGCAACACAAAACAAAGACAGGCAAATACAGTAGTATGATTCCACTTATATGAGATACCTAGAATAATCACATTCACAGGGACAGAAAACAGAAGGGTGACTGTCAGGGGCTGAGGGAGAGAGGGGAATGAGAACTTGCATGTTTAATGGGCAGAGTTTAAGTTAGAAAGATGAAAGTGTTCAAGAGCTTAACAGTGAGGATGGTTACATAGCAATGTGAATCCCCTTAATGCCACAGAACAGTATGCTTAAAAATTGTTAAAATGAGGCCGAGGCAAGTGGATTGCCTAAGCCTGAGGGTTTGAGACCAGCCCAGGCAACCTGGCCTAAACTTGTCTCTACAATAAAAAATAAAAAATAGCCGGGTGTGGTAGTGTACATCTGTAGTTCCAGCTACTCAGAAGGTTGAGGCAGAAGGATCACTGGAGTCCAGAAGGTCGATGCTGGGGTGGCTGTGAGCATGCATGCCCCTGCACACCTGCCTGGACAAAGAAGTGAGACTCCAACTCAAAAAAAAAATGGTTGGGCTTCTGGCAAGATGGCGACGGGGCAAGCTGGTCTATGAAACCCTCTGCAAAGGAGAACACAGAGGGTCTCTGGCTCTCTCCCCAGGGGCTACGGACCCCAAAGCTGGCAGCCTGCTCTTCAGCCTGCTGGGGCATCGCAGCGGTCTGGACAGCCACTGCAGCCTCCCTGGCGGCCATAGCACATCGCGCCACCCGAGCCTGAGGCGATCCACGACTTCAGTCCTTGAAGCCCCTGTAGGCAAGATCTGCTGGGATGGCTGCCACCTCTGCAGCCACCATGACGTCCTCCTGGCTGTGGGTCTCCTCCCTCCCGTGTGCCCTCAGGCAGACTACCATCTCCGGCCTCTGCCCCACTCCGAGTCCGGCCCCACCCCCTCTGGGGCGAGCAGCTGAGATAGCACCACCTGCTGGCAATTCAAGGTAACAACACTGAAACGGGAGAAACAAGCTTGAAAAATAGACACAGGCCAGATTTGAGTGGTAAACGGAGGATGATCTGAACTGTCCTTCACAGCAGGCCAGGGGCAACTGACCCTAACTGCAAACTAATTTACCAGCTGAAAAGACAGCTAGAAATCAGAGTTGAAAGGACATTGGACTTAAACGAAAAGTCTCAGAGTGTGCTCGATTGGTTCTGTTAGTTTAATGACTTAATTCTATTCCTACTGTTTTGTTCCATTTTTTTCTTTTCCTCTTCCTTTTCTTCTCTTTTCTCCTCTCAGTAAACCATATCTTTGTATAGAGGAACAGCACACCAATAAGGTGGTTGGTTAGCTTGTATGTTAGCATCATTGTATGTTTTATTTTTTGTGTATGGGAGTTGGTTAGTCTGTAGCTGTGGTCTATTGTTTTTATCTGTTTCAGTTTAGGTCTCTCTCTCCATTTGTTGGTACACTCGTCTGTTTCCCCCCTTAAGCCTCTCTCTCTCTCCACCCCCCTCTTCTCCCCACTCTCTGCTCCATTTTCTTCCCTCTGCTAACCACATTTTATTTCAGGGAGTAAACCTACAGACCCACTGCATGGGCAGATTCCAGGGCAGTGGGAAGTGGGATTCAGATTATCCATACACCTGTCAGTGAATACCAGAACCTGCAGATAAGATTTTGAATCACAGCTCCCCTTTAAGTAAATCTCAAAACTGCAAAAAGGACCACCCCCAACCTACAGTGCAACTCCAGAATTGAACAAAGTAAGGGGCATACATAAAGAAGAGGAGATTGGACAAACAGACGTAAAAGCAATCCCTCTACCCCTGAATAACAGAATTAAAGAAGATGGTGATGTGGAGGGAAGGAAAAAGTGTAGGGGGGGACCACACAAATGAAGAAAAACCAAAAGAAGAATATAGGTCTCACACAGACCCCTGGGAGATCAGACACTGAGAAAACAGATTCGGGAATACAAACAATGAAGAGCCCCCAGAATGACTGGTCACATGCAACAAACCCAGACATCAAGACATTAATAGAAAGAATTTTAAAAATTGAGGAAAGACAAGAGGAAAATAGGAAGGAGCTGATGTCAGAAATAACAGCAGTAAAGAATACTGTGATGGAAATAAATAACAAACTAATAAGCATGGAAAGCAGAATTAGCCAAGCAGAAGAAAGAATCTCAGAGCTCGAAGACCAAAACACAGAACTAACCCAAACTGTCAAAAGCATAGAAAAGAAGCTCAAAAAGACAGAACAAAACCTTCAAGAGATGAATGATCACTTCAAGAGACCGAACCTAAGAGTAATTGACCTTCCTGAGGCAGAGAGAGAAACAGAGACCACCCTGGAACAAACATTTCATGAAATCATTCAAGAAAACGTCCCTCATCTCATCAAGGATGAAAAAATTCAAATACAAGTGATTCAGAGAACCCCTGCAAGACAACAAATGAGAAGAACAACTCCCAGACATATAATAATTCACTTAAACAAAGTAGGCATAAAAGAAAAAATCCTAAAGGCTGCAAGAGAAAAAGGTCAGACTACCTACCAGGGAAGACCAATTAGAATAGCAGCAGATTTATCTACAGAACCCTCCAGGCTAGGAGAGCTTGTAGCCCTATCTTCAAGTTCTAAAAGATAAACAATTTCAACCAAGAATAACCTACC